GTAGATGAGGGAAGATTTGTTGTGGTCGACGACAAGGGAAGAGACAGGGATTTATGGAATGCTAGATCTCCAGTAAGGACGGCGTTGCTACGACTGACAGTGAGGACGGTGCTGAGAGGAGAGTGAGAGGGCTATCTTGGCTAGTCTGAAGAGGCCGGTGTGTAAGGAAATAAGGAGAAAGTTAAGCTGGCTGGAGAGGGAAGATGAAGGTTATGGCCAAGAGGTTGTATGTAGGGAGGATGAGGTCGTGGCTGAAGGGAGAAGGAAAAGGGAGGAAAGGTTGGAGGGGGGGCGACGTTGCTTGGAGAAGATGAAAGATTAGTTTTTTAGGGTTTTTGTATTGCCCTAGATTTTTTGTTTCAAAATTGCCCTCCCTTTTTTTGTGTATTAGATACTTATATTTATAAGCAAAATATTGTTTGGTCTTCGAATATGGTCACTCAACTTTTTTTTTTTGTAAATTTTGATTTTTCTTGTTTTTTATGTTTTGAATTCTTTTCTGAAAATGAGCAATATCAACGTCAACTCAATGAGAAGAAATCAATGATTTTAAAAGTAACACATTAAAAGTTGAACATGTTCAAAAGACCTTTGAAAATTTAAATTTTTTTTGAGACGACACTAAAAATGTTAAAAACGATGCAAATATATTAAGAACATATATTTTTTTGGGGTTTTCATTGTTTTTTTTTTGCTATTTTTGGTTTTTTCAAAAATTTATAAAAAACTAGGTCAAAAATTGGGTAGCAACACCTTATATAGAATATTACATTTTTTTTAGGGGTTTTATTTCAACCTTTACGATATTATCATTCCACCCAAACTCATTTCTCTTCCTCTGTCCAAGTTATAGCTATTATTACGTTTTCAAAATCTGCACTCTTTCTTATTCCTTATAATCAAATGCTATAAAACAAAAAAATCAATAATTTTTTTTTAAAACAAAACCAACTTATGGTTTTCATTAACAACGCAATATTTTATATACTTGCCTTATCGATAATCTAAATTGTCATGACTAATTTCTGCAATTGTATAGTTTTATTGTATGCTAATCTCTTTTCTCAATCTTCTCTTGTATGGTTTTCTATATGTGTTGTGTCCATAATAAAAGTGTCATTTTAACTACCATATGGTGAAAACCATTGCTCTATCTTACAGTTACTCTATTACATTTTGTAAGACTCATCCTTTCTTAGACAATAACACAACAAATCACAATAAAAGCTTCTTTCATGTTTAATTTTTCACTTCATACAACATTTGGCTGCAATTTACAATTGGTAGTTATTTATGTTTCTTATCAAATCATGAGGATGGGTTAAAAAATACAAATTTTTTGAAAGGAAAGTAGTATCTTTAATTGATAAGCTTAAAAGAAAAGAGCTATGTTAAAAAAAAATAGCGATTTTGTTAAGAAACAATATGAAAGTTAAGCATCTAAGGGCTAGCATGTTTCTGCATCTTTATTGTAACAGCTAGTCCTTGGAGTTCTAAACCTGATAAACACGTTTCTACTTTAATTGGAGGAAAATGGAGTTTGATTATTGAAATTGAACTTTGAAAAGTTTAATTGGTCAAATTAAGGATTTAATTGTGAAAAAAATTAAAGTTTGATAACCAGTTAGGAGTTTGAATGAAGAAATTTAAAACCAAGGATTGAATTGTAAAAAGCATAAGACTTCAAAGGCTAAAATTGACCACCTCATGGATCAAATTGAAAAAAATTAAAAGTTTGATAATCAATTAAGGATCTAAATGCACAAATTAAAAACCAAAGACCAAGATAAAAATGGTGCTAAATTTTAGGTTGATGATTGAGTTTGGTAGAGGTGAAATTGCATAAAGAGTTTGGAAGGCAACATGAGTGCAATTAAAAGTAATTGGAAGAACATTGACTAAAATGAAACCTATTAGATTCCAAATTAAAAGCTTTAATTTATAGAGGTTTAATCTAGATGAGATGTTGTTCACCAATTATTCATCTCCTTTTTTGGTAGTTTTGGATGATTGAGTTGGCACCTTCCAAGAGCTCGTTATGGAGTTTGAAACCTACAAATGACACAATTTTTTTTTGGCAAATAAAAGAAGAACATCCCCTCTACACCTTCATTCCATGAAATTGAACATTTATATCTCAATTCTTCTATAGAAGTTTTTAATATCTTGTTCCTAATCAGTCATTACTATAATTTCAGATTTTAGACTAATCGAGTTGATATTGTTGGATAAATAAATGTGAAGTTACAAACTTCTAAAATAAACAAGGTTGGATCTAAATGAAATATATACACATTCTCTATCAACTTTAGGTGGTTTCCATTGATATTTACATTGGAGCTGCTTCCACAAAGCCTTAAAAGTGATCAACCAAGTCAGTCTAGATTATGACACTAATTTTTCGAAAGCTATCCATTTTTTATGTTTTTCAAAGGATCTTTATTAATGACTTTAAAACTTTCCTTTCAAAATGGGTCAAAAATAGCAAAATCATCAAGAACTTTTAAAATTAAAATTACCATTAGAAAACCAGCCTGATATAAAACTTTCAGCTTTTAACTTTTATCCAAAATTCTCCCATTTTAATCCAAGCGCTGAGATGAAACATATATTAGTAAATTACATATGCTCAACCAATTTTTTTCAAAGCATTCTTGTCACAACTCTGTAAAACAAGAATAAAAAAACAAACAGTTAAATCCTCACTTACCATTAACCTTTTTTTTTTTTTTTTTAATTAGAACAAAAAAAAACAAAAAATTCCTAAAACCCATGCAGAAATCAGAAAATTTCTGGAGAGGATTAAACCCTCCATTGAGCGCAGTAGGGTCAATGGTGTCAAAGAAGCAATCCAAGTGATGTCATTTAGTAATATCAAGCCCTTTTGAGTCTCCATTGACCAAACCGAACTCGAAGGCCTATTTCTCTCTGCATCTTCTTCTTTCTTTTCCAACTAAGCCTCTTTTGATTATGTTGCCAGAAAAGCTAATTAAGGGTTATGGGTTTTTTTTTTTGGTTAACTTGACAATTTATCTAAAGAAAAAGGAAGTATCTAGGCGTGCATATTTTATTCGCTAGGCTTTATTCCTTAATTTTTCAATCACCTGACCACATATATTTGCATCGTTTCAATAAAAGCACCTTATATATATATATCCTCAATTTTTTCTAACTTATGAGACTTGACTTAATATGTTCTTATATAATAGATAAGCTTTTAATTTGTTATTACATGGATATATAGGTGTTGCGCAAAACATTTGATATCTTTTCTAAGGCACTGGACCTCTCTCCTTCTTTAAAACAATTAAAAATATTTTCATAACCTCAAATTTATCCAAATATATAAATCTCTTATTTTAATATTATTAAAAACAACCCTTGCAGACACAGTTGCCTGATCAACTAGCCAAGATACCAAGTTACCAAGTTATTAGTTCAACTAGTTGTTTGCTGGTTCCACTAATGGTTTGCCGATTCATTTATTAAGTCATGGTAACCTAATTTCTTTTGTTATTCATCGATCAACCCGTATCTCGTCTCCTTCTTCGATCAATTCATGAAAGCAGTAGAAAATGTTTGAATTCTTCTAATCCAAACTAGCTAGTTACAACCTATAATTACAGCTTATTTCATTAATTAATATGCTATATCATCAATTCATGCAAACAAATTCAAAAAATCATCAATTATATCCAACTTTCTATTTAAAAAACCTTCTAACGAGGGAAATTAAATGGAAACAATCACTTTCCTAAAAACTTAAATTAATATAATTTTTTCGTTAGCAAGGATTAACATTAATGTTGGTTTTAAATGAATTTGTCAATTAACCATTTTTTTTTCTAATGCAAGTTACAAACCTAAAATATGATTTAATCCAACTTGTTGCATATTGAAATACTATTTCCTTATGAAAAGGTAAATCAAAATTGATTCATTTACAAGTGCAAAGAAATTAGCAATATAAGTAAGAGAGATGATTCTTTTTTATCTTTTATTTCTCATTTCTATTTATGATAATAATTGGGTGATTAGTATAATTAATTTACTTTTAAAAAATAATATTTATGTTTACATAGTTCAGTTATATATAAAAATAAATTGGATATGAAGAAATAATCACTTTAAAGTCATAGAAAAAAAAACCATATAATCAAACTCAAAATCTCTTTCCATTCCATTTTTTCAAAACTCAAAATGTTTCTTCGAATCTTCTATATATGTTGATACTTGATAATGCATTAACCATTAATTAAATAAGTTAATGTGCCATAATAAAAGTTAGAAATGACTACTCACAGTAGTTATATTAGTTTGACTCTTTAGAAAAGTGATTGATTTCCATTTAATTTCATAATAGAATTGATGGTTTTCTTGAATTTACTGATATAGGCTGATTACATAGCATATTAATTAAACTTCAACTGTAACTTGTATGATACAGCTTATTTACCATAAAATTTCTCATATATTTTTATTTTATTAGGGTAAATAAATTCAGGTTTTTATGTACACTTTATTACAAGATCATTTCACTTTATAGTATAATGAGTTTAATGGGCTTATTGAGACTCTAACCCAATACTATTTGAGATGGATTATTATTATAATTTGTTAAGATGTCAGTTGTTATATTAAGGTTTTAGCATATTTAATGGGTTGCAGTGATTTTATAGCTACAACTACTCAAGTGCCCGTGCTTCTTCATGAGCTGGACTCAAACATTTTTGTCAAAAAAAAAAAAAAACCTGCATCTATTGACGAAGCAGTATCCACCGTTAGGAAAACTTTAATTGTAAATAAAAAAAAATGAATTGTGTATTTAATAAAATGAATTATAAATTATAAGTACCAATCAATGTATAAAAACATTTCTAATGCTTACCAAAAACTGAGCCAATAATTAAAACAAAGATGAATATTAAGACATATTATTAATGGTCTGTCGAGTAAATAGTTATATTTTGAAAAGTAATTGAATGTAATCAGTGCTTAATCTAGTCATCTTTGACTTCTGGTATAAGAATTTTCACCGATCGATTATTAATTGGCTGTGTTGGCCTTGCATTAATGGTGTCTGAGTCCTGCAAAATGTTCATGGAATAATCAACAGTAGACAAAGCAATGAGAAATAATCAACATTCTGGGAACTAAATTCCCATATTTTATATTTGGAAAATTAAAGATAGGGTTTCAAACTCACATCATGAACAGCTAGCTATACGCAGCAATCTCACTTGTTCTCTTGTGGCTGTGCTCACCTGTCAGGATATATTACAGTCATATTTTATATTTGGAAAACAAGGTGTTGTTCAGTAACAATGAATGGAGCGAAAAGAATGAAAATAAAGTTTTATTCTTAATTTATAGGTGTTTATTTGAAAGGAATGAAGCAAGAAGAATGGTGAAAAGTGAGAATGAGATTATTTTTTTATATGAAAAAAAACTATATATATATATATATATTGTATATGCTTCTGCCATCTTTTATTATTATTTTTATTATTATTATTATTCCACCAGCGTTATCTTTTTAAAAATACATTATTGTTAATTTGTTACCACCGTTACGATAAATCAACTCGACAATTCTTATTACAATTATTATTAATAAGGTTATTTTTTTCATCTTAAGAACCAAACATTAGAAATTTAAAATTCTATCACGATTTCTTGCTACAATTTCAAACTCAATATATGAATTAAAACGTCATTTCAATTTCCTAATTTCGATAATTCTTAGCACATCACAAGCAAGACTTAACGATTATGATTGCTGTTTTTGGCAAGCAATGGATGAATAATGCTAAAACCTTTCGGGGACATTCAAGGTACAATTGATTCCGCTGATAATTAAGCAGTAAAAACGATGGCTCCAATATAGGTGATGGGCACAATCGTAGTTAATCCTAACGTATTTTATGACGGAAAATCGAAACCTTTCCAACAATGGTCCCCGGAACATTTTCAGTGCAAGGAGGAGTTGTTTGGGAGTCGATGTAGCTATAATAATATATGCTGCCAATCTTTATGCTCCTTGGATCAACTACACTCGCCGCTGTATCTTGTTCATTGGTGCCGGAAACCGATTTTAACGGTTCTGTCAGCTAAATAACGAAAAACATCATAAGAGAGAATCAAAGTGAATGATTTACGCGAAGTCAGATGAACATACTGATGACAGGAAAGAGTCTGGTCCTCCTATCATGTACATAATACCAACAACTGCAACCTTTCCATCCAGGTTTGCATGAACCATGTGTGCCTCTAAAGGTAGCCTATAGATAAATTGGCAAATTAGAGAACTGAATACCTCTTGCCATTGATTGTATGTTCAGAAGGTGAATGCCAGTGGCACTGCTGGAATACATATTCGGTTCCATTTATTTCAATGCTTCCTGCACCACCCTCCCATTTCAGCTGCGTCCACAAACAATGATCTGTTGATTTTTGATAGTATCTAGTTGCTTATAGGTAGATAAACGCATCTATGACATGGGTTTGCAAACAATCTTGCAACTAATTATAAATATAGCTGCAAGCCTGGAGAGATGGGATGATGATCATCTGTTGAAGTTGTATCAAGAGATGATAATTGAAAAGATGTTCTAATATTGTAGGTTCAAATCTTTCTTCCTTACCGTCATATCATGGCCTCTGTTCCTGAGAGAAGGATTTGCAGGCTTGTAACTTCTTTGGATTCTCCTCAAATGGGACGCTACGTCAACGCTGTTGTTCATCAGGTCAATAGGAGACTGCATTTATCCTTGGCTACATGCACCCCATTTAGGGTGAATCCTTCCCCACTGGGCAGGTCCCTTCACACCATTTGGATCATAACTAAATTCTGTCTCGTCCTCTTCACCACAACAAATGGAAAAAAAAATAAAATTTACCAACTTATAAATATAAATCAGTCGCACCTAGTAAATAGAAAAAATGCTCCCAACCCAAAAACCTCCCCTCTCCCCCGCAACCCAACCACCCCCTCTAAACATCCACAACACCCCCTTCTTCTCCCTGCTACATTGAACCTTTTGAAACCTTTGATTTACACAAACAACAACTGTAGAACTGTAGACAATGTGATTCTAGCCCTATCTACCTTGTCATCTTGTCAATGTCATCAATGACTACAACCATAACAACAAACACTTTCCTAACATAACTACCCCGCCCTCCGTCTCTTCTAAGTTTTATTTTGAACATTTTCCATCTCGGCTAAATTATGAAGAACTCAAAAAGGCTTTTTCAAAGATTGTCCTATCATCAACCTCTTTGTTTCCAAAAAAAACAAAAACAACACGAGGGAAACGGTTTGGTTTTGTATCTTTCTTCTCCCCTTTAAAAGAAATAGACCTTTGTGACAGTTTGAACCTCATACAGTCTAACTCTTTTAAAATCCATGCAAACCTAGCAAGATTTCAAACCCCTAAAGATTCCGGAAAAAAACCAGCCCTCACTGTAAAGCCAGAAACCAAAACCATGCCCAACTAGCCTTCAGAGACAACATGACCTTTGTTGAAGCTCTCTCGGTCAAAAACCATCATAAAAGACGATGGTGTATGAGTCTATACATGATGACAAGGAATAGCTTATGAGAAGTTTAGTCTGATTTATAGCTATAAAAGTGGACAATGCTCAATTGGAGCATATGGTTTTGAAAAATGTCAAACAGGCAATTGATTTTCTTATTCTAGAAGCAAGCCAAACAATTATCACCTTTATAAACAAAGAGTACATGGAGAAAGATCTGATAAACAATAGCTCTGCCTTGAAAAACTTCTTCTTTTGTCTCAAATCATGGAAGAGGAAAGAAAAGTTGTAGACGGATTTGTTTGGATGTCTATTTTGGGACTTTCTCTAATAAGATGAAACCGCAAATGCATTGAATCCACTGTGAAAGATGAGGCAAGATGATTGGATACGACATTACAAGTGTGAGCCAAGGTTCACTTATAAGAGTAAAGCTGCTGCTAAGCATAACCTCTTTTATGACTCTAAACAAATGATTTTCACTGATCCTAGACGGAGATGAATTTGATATATCAGTCATAAAAATGAAGCCATGTTTTAGTCCCCTGCTTACCATAATCAAATACTCAATAGATACATTAGGCATTGAAGAATCAGATGAAGAGACAATTAGTATTTAAAAATATATTTTTATTAGGGTTTTATATCATTTTGCATTTAAACTATCATTAGCTCCTTAACTAAAACATATTTTATAATAACAAGTTTAATATTATAAGATACTTTTAATTTATGGTAAATGTTTATCTTAAATGTAGGCCTATCATATAAATTAAGAGATTGATTGATGAGTTTAACTACTGAAAGTAAAAAGATAAAGAAAGGGTTAAGCTTAGGAAAGAGATGTTGGTTTAGTCCAAACTGAAACACTGTTCAATTATTAGGTTATATTTGGAGTTGTAAAACTAGGATTTGGATCTACTTTATATAGTTAGAAAGATAAGACATAGGCTTAAATTATTCATGGGAAGGTAAGACTCTATTCTGCTGTTGGGAAGTCCAAATCTTAGCAACAACAGAGAAGTCCGAATTTATCCTGCAGCCCAGACATTGTTCAGTGTTCAGCCTATATCTTGATTTCTAGAAGTCTAAATAACCTCAATTTTTTTCATGGGAAAGCAGAGACAATTTTCCAGAACTTTCATGATTCATATCTGTTTAAATTTTAATGTTAGCAATTATGTTTTGTTCAGACAAAAAGATAAGGATTGTCACCAAGTCAAAAGTTGGCCACCTACTCAACAATTAGTCAACAAAATAATAGTTCCTAATTTTAGCCTATAAAAGGAGGCATTTGTCATATATTTAGACATCTTGGTTTTCAGATCAAGATCATGTTCTTATTCTTTTTCTTTATATTTTTATAATGTTTAAGTTTTACTTTCATTAATCTCTTATTTATGCTTTTCATTTCCTTTCTTTTACATAGTTAATTTATATTTTATTTATGTTTTTATTTTATTTATTTATATTTATTTTATTTTATTATATTTAGTTAAACTTATTATGTTAAGGTGAAAATGTTACACTAATGGTGTAAAAATAAGTATAGTGTAAACTCAACATAGACTTTAATTTTTAATACTAACATGTTTTTATTTATTATCTTGTTTACTCTTAATACTTTGTTTGTTAAATGATTAATCTAGATTTATATTATATAACGCTTGAGACAATAAATACTTGGCACTTTCATAGTCTAACCATATGATATAACCGATATGTATACTATGAAAGGAACTTGATTTGTTGTTAACATAAGTTATAATCATGAATACTTGACAATATTTATAAGTTTTAGCATTTTTCAAATAAAATAACCAATGTAATCATGTTAACAATTTATAATCTGATTGGAACCTCCTTTGTGTGTGGTTTCTAGTTGAGTAATAATTTGAAATATCATTAGTAAATCCTCTAACATTGACATTTGTTTTTATTGTTTAATCTTCACATTAATCTTACAATCTCAAAGTTCTCTTTAATTTCTTCTTCTTCTTCTTCTTCTTCTTCTTCTTATTATTATTATTAGTATTATTATTATTATTAATATAATTATTGTTATTCTTCTTGTTGTTGTTGTTGTTTATAATTTATATAGTTAACCTTCTTGTGGTTTGACCTTGGTCTTGCCGGGTTATTTACTACTTTGACACTCCTACACTTGGAAGAAGACATAAATCTTTTAGTTGTGTCAAGTTTTTGGTGCCGTTGCCGGGGAGGTAAATTCTTGTATAAATTATAATTTTTATTTTATTTTTTCTTTTCACTTTTCTTGTATCTAACTTTGTTTCTTTTATTTTGTTTCCTTTTGTTTTGTTTCTTGATCCTTTTATTCTCTTCCTACATTTACATGAGAGTTTGGTCATGTACATTAAGTGGTAGACTTTGTAGGATATTCTCATCATTTTCAGAAAATATAGATGAAGAAGATAACTAGTCGCTTCATAATGAGAATAATGATAATAACCGCGTTAGAATAGTTAGAGACCATCATGCATAGTTTTCCCTCCTGAAGCATCTCATTTTAATTTTAAGCCAGACATTATTCAACTTTTACCTTCTTTTCATAGCTTAAATTTAGAAAATCCATACTTGCATTTAAGGGAATTCAAGAAGTTTTATAACACCTATAATGACTCAAATTGAAGTATGAAAACCATCAGATTAAAACTTTTTCCTTTTTCATTAAAAGATAAAACTAAAACATGACTACAAAATTTGAGACTAGGATCCATTCGTGCTTCAGATGAAAAGCAAAAACAGTTCTTAAAGAAGTTTTTCCCTTTTCATAAAACAAATTCCTTCAAAAGACAAATCATCACTTACTCAAAAACCAGGAGAAATATTTTACCAATTGACACGACTGAAAGATTGATGTCTTCTCTCAAGTGCAGGAGTGTCGAAGTAATAAATAATCCGGCAAGACCGAGGTCGAACCACAGAGAGGTTAATTGTACAAATTATAAACGACAATAGTAACAACAATAACAACAACAACAACAACAATAATAATAATAATAATAATAATAATAATAATAATAATAATAATAATAATAATAATAGTAGTAGTAGTAGTAGTAGTAGTAGTAGTAGTAGTAGTAGTAGTAGTAGTAGTAGTACTAGTAGTAGTAGTAGTAGTAGTAGTAGTAGTAGTAGTAGTAGTAGTAATAAAAAAGAAGAAGAAGAAGAAGAAGAAGATGAAAACTTTGAGATGGAATATTAACGTAGCGATTAAACAATGATAATAACAAATGTCAAGGTTAGAGGTTCCACTAATGGTATGTCAAACAAGTATAGTATAACCTCTTATTATTCAATTGGAAACCACACACAAAGGAGGTTCCAATCTAATTATAGATTGTTAACATGATTACATTAGTCATCTTATTCGATTAATGCTAATACTTGTAAATCTCGTCAAGCATTCATGATTATAACTTATGTTAACAACAAATCAAGTTCCTTTCATAGCTCAGGTGTCGGTTATACCATACAATATGGGCTATGAGAGTGTCAAGTATTTGTTGTACCAAGTGTTATACAACATAAATCAAGATTAGTCAATTAACAAGCAAAGTATTAAAGAGTGAACAAGATAACAAATATAAAACATGTTAGTATCAAACATTAAAGTCCATATTAAGTTTACACTATACTTATTCTTACACCATTAGTGTAACCTTTTCACCTTCACATAATAAACTTAGCTAGACATAATGAAAGAAAGAAAAATAAATAAACAAAACAAGAACATAAAGAAGATGAAAGTTAACTAAGTAAATGAAAGGCATAAACTTGATATTAATGAAAACAAAACATAAACATTACAAAAAATAAAAAGAGAGAAAGCAAGAGCATGATCTTGATCTAGAGACCAAGATGCCTAAATGCATGGCAAATGCCTCCTTTTATAGGCCAAAATTGGGAACTATTGATTTGATGACTAATTGATGAGTGGGTAGCCAACTCTTGACTTGGTGACAATCCTTATCTTCTCTTGTCTACCCAAAACATCATTGATAACGTCAAAATTGGAGCCACTCGAAAACAAGAAAGTTCTAGGCAATTGTCTCACCTTTCTTATGTAAAATATTCAGCTCATTTGGACTTCTAGAACTCCAGATATGGCCAAAATACTGAACAGTGCTCGGGCTGGAGGACAGCTTCGGGCTTCTTTCTTGTTGCAATAATTTGAACTTGAAAATGGCCTTTTTAGATGTTGGGCTCCATATGAAAGTTGTAGGCCTATGTCTTACCTTTCCATCCATATAACGTAGACCTAAATCTGAGATCTATAGCTCCAGATATGACCTAATTACCAAATAGTGTTCCGATTTGGATTGCACCGACATCTCTTTTCTAATTTTGGTCATCCCTTTGCCCTTGCAATTTAAGTTCTTAAAGTCATCAATCAATCCTTTCATTTATGTGATAGGCCTGCATTTAAAATGAACATTTACCACAAATTAAAGGTATCTTATATTATTAGATATATAATTATAAAACATGCTTTAGTTAAGGAGTTATTGATTCTTCAAGTGCAAAATGATGATATAAAACCATGATAAAAATGCACTTTTAAGTACTAATCACTCCCCCAACCAGCTTATTACTAGTCCCTAGTAATCAAAGCGTTAAAATAGAAAAACAATTTGCAAATTCCACAAAGCAAGGTATTTATCATTTAACTTCCATTAATCTATCCAGATAAACAAACTCATTAAATTTATATATCTGCTCAATACCTCTTAACAAGATATTAATAAACTTTTTTTTTGTGCTCAATATATCAACACATAATTATGGGGCTTTTATTGGAAGAAAACAAAATTTTTGTTCTAATGTTTAAGGTTAACTTCCTTGGCTTGGGATTATTATTTTTGTCTTCTTTTTTCTTTTTTGTTTTTTTTTTAATATATATACATATAATTTAAAAACACCATGCATCTTTAACCCATGTAATGAGCTTTCAGCTAATGACTCCTAGACCAGTTGGTCTTAGGGCATTAGGTGTTAAGACACTCCTACGAGCTTAGTAACTCGAGTCGCAGATACTGATATGTAGATAGTGCAATGTTTGATTCCTTTAAGCTTTTCTCCTTAACCCATGTAACAAGCGTTGGGCCAATAGCTTCCAAGTCAGTTGACTTTAGGGTATTAGGTGTTAAAACACCCCTTCGGGCTTAATTGCTTAGGTTAGGGAGGCTACGAAACCAAACTTATCTACATTTTTATTATTATCATTTTTTTTTATTTTTTTATAATTATATACAATCCCTTTCCCTTAGTTGTTACCTTTAACAAAAGAACATAAATAATATAATAATCCAATGTGCAACCCACAATCATATGTTAAAGTGTGTGTGTGTAAATTAAGGTTTAAGAATACATGTTAAATGAGTATATGAGCAGAATTAAGTGATAATAATGCGAGAGTTTGTAAATTTGAATATTTCAAGAAGTATTATAATAGACCTTGTTAAGAATGGTTACTAAGATGAGTCTCAAGAGTCACTTTAACAAAAGAGCTCATTTACTCTGTCATCATAGTAATAACAATTATGCACATGCTTTATGAAATGG